AATCATAATGCATCATCTTCAAAAATGCCGGTTATTTGACATAACTTGACACAAATTGGCAAACCTCAAAAATCTTAAGTCGATCGGCATCCGTGCATCGTTGATTATTGCATCACTCCAAAAATATTGAAATATGATCTTCCATACATAAAAGCGACCCTGTATCTCTTGTCAGGACATATGGCTGTCAACTGTTACCTGGACAAGCTCAACCTGTATCCAAGAAGTTTTTGCTGCAGACTGAGCACATAATATGTCATTGCGAGACTCTGGACACTTTTTATTTAGGAAAAATTAGGCTAGAACAAGAGGAACTATGCTTCCATTCTATCAAGGACCTGCATAAGTTGGTGCAAGGTACAGGGATAGGATAGAAATGGGACAAACACTGTAGACCTCACAGGTCGCAGTGTTTCCGGCAAAGGACGGCGGGCGGCCCCTTGTTATTGAAAAATAAAGATGTGACTGATGTTTGTTTCTCTGTGATATTGTCGCATATTTACAATATCTCTGAAACCACGTTGGTGGAAATCTAACACAATAAAGAATCAAACGAAGTGGACTTACTTTTTATTGAACACTTTCTGTTATTTGACTTAAAAGGCAAAAACGTTAGCTTAAAGATAATAAAATTATAACTGGATATTGAAGAAAGTTTGAGTAAAGTAACTAAACGTTCTACAACCCAGTATGAGTACATCTCAATTGCAGAGCCTCTAACGAGGGGTAGGGGACTCAAAACCTCACAATATTTTCAAATGTTTATTTAAAAAATGGGGCAACATGTTACTTTGTTGCCTCATTTTTAAACAATTTTTTTTGAAATAAACATTTGAAAAAGATTGTGAGGTTTTGAGTCTTCTAGCCCTCGGTAAAGGTTTTGCAATTTGGGTAAAATGCTAAGCATAGTATTTAGTCGACACTTTTAGAATGTTCTTTGAATTCATAAAAACTTTAAAATAAAATATAGCCAAGTTTGAGCCAATTCAAACTAAGTTCAGTTGATTTTCTATTTTGTTTTCAAATGACAAAAAGTTTTAAATCTAAATTTTCAAAACATTGACCATCTATATACCTAATTTCAGATAATGCTGCATGTTGTTTTAACTATGCAGGGCGGGTCACTGAAAACTTACAATGACTATAATTTTTAAACCAAAAAAGATATAAAAAAAATAAAAAATACCGTTTCTATAATATCGAGGGGAAATACATAATATGACGTATTTTTTGAACCACCCCGACCTACCCCTTAGGCGGCACCCCTACTCATTTGAAATTCTTAAATGGCAACACCCCACTTATGGCGCCTTTTTGGAAAGCCCATCAAAAATGCTAAACGATGATCATAAAGTTTTTAGGGTGAAATTGAAAAACTATCCTTACACGAAAAATTAGGTGGACATTAATGAAAAAAGTGATTTTTTCAGCATAAGTTACAAATTGGGACCCAGCTAAATGAGGCAAATGAGGTATTTTTCAAACCACCCCGACCCACCCCTAGGTGCCACCCCCTCACTTCTAATCTCATCAATGCCATTTTGAAACCATTGCCATTTTGAAAATAAAAATAAAAAATGTAGATAATAAAAAAGGCAACAAAAAGATGTTTTACTAATCGTTCAGCCTAATTTTGCGATAACGCAAATTCTTCCTTATTATGTTTTTTTACTTTCAAACAGGAATCTTAAGCGGCCCACAAACGGTCAATATTATTGCGCAATATTTTATATTGTGCAATAATATTGACCGTTTAGGGTTTACATTGAAAGGTTGCACAATATATTGTAATTAAAAAATTAAAATTATTAATTATCAAAAACAGTTTGATTTTTATTGTGCAATAGTGATTAGTTTGTATCGTGTGTGGATAATATTGCACAATAGTTCAGTATATTTTTGTTTTCTCTGAGTGTTTGTCTCGCTGCTCGGCTTCTATTTAGAATGTCTAGATCAGTTGCACAGACAGTGTAAGACTCACCCTGTATATTTATGGAAAAAATGAGGACAGAAATAGATCAGTGGTTTCTCAGCAAATATGGCATCAAAAGCAAAAGAGGAAGAAAGACGATTTATTTTAGAAGTCAATGAAATGTACCATTCTTTGCAAGCTTTATGGGATACAAAAAGCAAAGAATATAGCAACAGAAATAAAAAAAAATGAACAATATGATGAACTCCTAGGGAAATATAAGGAAAAATACCCAGACGCTGATAGAAAACAATTGATAAGCAGATCAATAGCAGCTTGTCTCATGGAACCAAAGTATAAAACGAAACTAGTTATTGAACAAATTTATTGTACTGTTAGGAGATAACTAACAATATTATTAGGCAATATTATTGCGCAAACATATTGACCGTCTGTGAACATATTGCCCTTTTAAAACGGCATATTTTTGCGTTTTTTGCACTGTCTTCTATCGATTTTCAATCGTTTGCAAATTTGGTGGTATTTTAAACCTTTATTTAATTCCCTTATTTAAAAAAAATGGATAATACTGTGGAAGAAAGAATTCAAATAGTTTTTCTTGATGGTGCTCTTACTGCACACACCTTCATATCTGCTATTTGAGATTGTGCTTTCAATGAGAGAAATACGGACAAAAACGTAAGTCACGTTTATGTTAGTTTAAGATGGAAGTTATTGGTCAGGTATCGGTCAATCCAGAAGCATCAACACGCCAGTTGGCATCAATCACAGGTATAAATCGAACATCTGTCAGAAGAGTGTTGAAAATGCACAAATTCGAACCCTACAAAATGAAGATTCTGCAGGAACTTGGCGACGACGATCCAGATAGAAGGATGCAATTCTGTAAACTAATGACGGAGTAAATTCGAAGGGAACCTTCACTCACTAAAAATATTTGTTTTAGTGATGAGTGCTCATTTTTTTTAAACGGAAATGTGAATAAGCAGAACTGCAGATACTGGATGAGAATCCGCATATTGTTGTTGAAGGACACACACCCAACATCCCCAAAAGCTCAATGTTTGGTGTTATAAAAAAAATCAATTATAGGTAACATTTTTAGGTTCAAATTATAGGTCCATTTTTCATCGACGGAAATTTGACTGGTGATGCTTATGAGAAAATGCTGAACAATTTGATCGTCAGTCATTGTAAATGAGGTTGAAAATCAAAGAGATTTGGAAGGAAATTTAACCCTTAATGAAGACCTCATACACTTTCAGCAAGATTTCTTGCCCCTCCGCATTATTCTATTGTCACAAGGCGGTGGTTGGATAGATATTATCCAAGGCAATGGATTGGCAGAAGGGGTCCAATCGAGTGGTCAGAAATGTCACCGGATCTCACTCCCATAGACTTTTTCTTGTGGGGTTACACTAAATCAATAGTCTGCAAGACAAATAGTTGCAAGAATTGCGACAGAGGATAATTGAAGCATGTCGAAATATTCCAAGAGAGACTTTCCAAAACATGAGAAAAGAATTTGAAAATCTTTTGTATTTTTGTATGGAAAAAAACGGCTCATTTTGAGCAATTTTGAAAATAAATTATCATTTTAAATTTCTTTCAAATTGTCACACCTACATTTCTTATCACTACTTACCAGTAATTAAGTTGAAGTCTGTATGACCATCGTTTAGCAATTTCAATTAGCTTTCCAAAGAAGTGTCACAAGTGGGGTATCGCTATCTTGAGATTAGAAGTGAGGGAACCTAGGGGTGGGTCGGGTTGGTTTGAAAAATACCTCATTTGCCTCATTTAGCTGGGTCCCAATTTGTAACTTATGCTGAAAAAATCACTTTTTTCATTAATGTCCACCTAATTTTTCGTGTAAGGATAGTTTTTCAATTTCACCCTAGAAACTTTATGATCATCGTTTAGCATTTTTCACGGGCTTTCCAAAAAGGCGTCAAAAGTGGGGTGTTGCCATTTGAGATTTTCAAGTGAGTAGGGGAGCCGCCTAAGGGGTAGGTCGGGGTGGTTCAAAAAATACGTCATATGTATTCCCCTTCGATAGAAACGGTATTTTTTTTTTTGATATCTTTTTTGGTTTAAAAATTATAGCCATTGTAAGTTTTCAGTGGCCCACCCTGTATGATATAATATTTATTAAAATAAGCAGTCTTATCTAACATTTTCTGATGGTTCGTTTAAGCTTCAAATTCGTATTTGGTAGTCAAGAACTGTTAACTGAATGAAATAATTATTTATTAACTGAATAATATATATTATATTATTATATATATTAACTGAATAAATTCTTTAAATTTACAGATTTTTTGTCTCAGAAGCCTTATAGAAACAACAATATGAGCAAACCCACTGATTAGTAATTTAAAAATGGTTTTAAATGTTATTCTTTATTCCAGAAAAAAATGACTGTCATGTTGAAGTTTCTGTCCCCCGTGCTATTACCTTCCCTTTCCTATTATTTAATCTTTAAACCGCCATTGTCCTCATTTTTCCACATAAATATACAGGGTGAGTCTTAAATAAGTGCAAATATTTTATGAGCAATACATTTCGACCCCAGAAACACGATTATGAGGTTTTTTATGTAAAAAAAATAAAAATTTGGAACATTTTAAAAAAAGTTTTGGAAATTTCTTTAATTTGTAGTTAAAAACCATAATTTCTTGATAATATGGCAACATCGGTAATAGACCAAATTTACAAGAAGGAAAATCCAGAAAAGATCCAGTGGTTCTCAAAATGTAAGCAGTATTTTTTTGAAATTCTCGAAATAAAATATCTCGGTTATTTTGAAGTTATTTAAAAAACGGCAAAGAGAAAATATGTTTCTTTTATCGAGATCTACTAGCCCTGAAAATATTTGCACTTGCAAAACTCACCCCGTAAATAAGATAGGTATATGTATACCAAAAATTTTTATAGTGCCATTTGTTGAATTCAGATAAATAAGAATATTTCAAATTCAGAGTTCTTGTAGTTTTTATCACATTATCACTTATTAATGTGTATAAGGATATTTGGTTATTGAATTAGTTCAAAATAAAACATAATATGGTAACAAGAAATTATAATTTATTTCTATATATTAAAAAACAATACATATCATATGATCTTCAATGTTGTGTATTCATGGTTTGGCAGTTTAGGCAGCTGTAACAAAGAATACAAATTAGAAAATCTCTAAATATGATAATGATCCAAAATATAAATTAAAATATGTATACTAACCAGCAGCAGCGTTTTGACCATATCCATAGGAAGAGAATGGATAAGCACTGAAAGATCCATATTGGTATGGGGTGTAGCCTTTGTATGAGTTGTAACTGTATGGGGCGTAAGAACCAGAGTAGGCAGATGAACTGTATGGACCGTAATATCCATAGTTAGATGAACCATAAGAGTTGTAGGGATAGGATCCGTAGGCGTAAGAATAAGAGTTGTATGGGTAAGAGTTAGACCCGTATGCATAGGAATTGTATCCGGGGTAGGATGCAGATCCGTAACTGTAGGGGTAGACTGAAGAATCATAAGCAGTGTTGAAAGGTCCGTAGGAGTAGCTAGAGCTGTATGGACCATAATATCCGCTGTATCCAGATCCATAACCGTAAGGGAATCCATATGAACTGGAGTATCCAGAAGAATAGCTGTAAGGTCCAGAGTATTCAGCTACTGAGTCATAACCGTATGGGTATCCTGAGTAACCAGAAGCGGATGAGCTGTAAGGTCCATAGGAGTAGCTAGAGCTGTATGGTCCGTAGTAACTGCCATAGCCAGCATAACTGTATGGGGAGTTTGAACTATCTTCAGAAGAGTAAGGTCCATACCCGTACGCAGATCCATAACCATATCCAGATGAACTGTATGGTCCATAGTTGTAAGAATATCCGTTATAACCTTTTGGAGCATATTGTTGGAATTTAGGAGCGGCTGATGAGTATCCATAACCATAATATGCCCCTAAGGTATAGAAAGCTTGGTATGCACTCGACACTGCTCTAAAAGCATTTTGGGCTTGCGCAGCGGTAGCACGGTAATTGTATTGTTGAGCAGCTTGGTAGGCATTGTAGAATGCTTGTTGAGCAAACTGGATTTGTTGGGCAATGTATGAAGCTGAATAAGAACCTTCTTGAACGGCTTGGTAAACAGACTGTGCATACCGCAGCCCTTGTTGAATTTGTTCGTTGATGTAAGAAATACCTTGTTGGGCTTCAGATTCTTGGGCAACTCCTTGAGCAGATTGCAAGGCAGCTTCAGCATAGGCTTGAGCTTGTTGTAAGTACTTGCTAGCGTAAGAACTTACTGGTCCATATCCGCCATAGCCATAACTTCCATATCCGTAGCTGCCATATGCAGAACCACTACCATACCCATATGATGCTGGTCCGTATTGGCTCGATTGGGCGAAAGGGTAAGAAATTGGTCCTGCAGACGCTAGCGCCAAGAAGGCAAGAAAAGCAACCGACTTCATATTTTTCACTTCTGTACCACACTGGATGATGATCAGTTTACTGATGCCGATTGTAAATTTTATCTCGGTATTTATAAGAAGAAATTATCATTGTATCACACACATTGCCATCCATGCAAGTGACACTTATCGTTTGATATGTTTAATCTTAATAAATTTTGCAATATTTTTTAATTACTGAAAAATAAAATGTGTATTATAAATTTAATTAACACGTTGCCGTTTAAAAAGGTGAAATGTCGCAGTGTGGTCTTAAGATATGGGTAGATTATATTACAATTAGGTTACCAAATGAAAAATAAATAATTTTTATATATGTATTATTATTTGACAATATTATATTAATGTTTATGTGCTTGATTATTCTAAGTGCACAAAATGGTAATTATTTCGTCAGAAGTAAACAGTTTAAATTACTATTACATCATTATCCTCTACAAAATAAGTAATTTCTTAATAATTTTGATAGTTATTAAAAAAATATTCTGTTATAATAAACCGTTCTCCCTAAATATACCTATTTTATTTTCAAGTATTGCATTTAGCAAAGTAATAAAGTATTTTCTAACTGAACCTAATCTTGAATTTGATGAACCATTTATGTTAGTGGAGTATCCTAGTGTTAAAAATGATACTTTTACCTAAATATTTTGTTTTACTATTAGTTCTACCAATATTTAAAAATATATTTTACAAAAAGTATCAATTTTAAAAGGCTAATATGATAATTAAAATATATTTTGTTTATTATATTACCTGTATTCAAATAGTTTTACACACTGTATATCATAAGATCGGTATATGTACTTGTTGCACTTGTCTGTATTTCATAATATTGCAGCATTGTAGGAGAAATGAATTTAATAATAATATATAGGGTGGCGCACCTTATTCGCCTCGGTTGATTTTTCTCATAGAACACCCGGTATTTTATTTTATTTTTGGATTCTTGGACGTAAAATAAGGCATTTATTATAAGGGTTTAATATGATTAAAAGCTTTGGTTGTTGAGATATTTAAAAATATTTCAATATGCATGCTATAATAAAAAAGTTTGTCAACACCTTGTATATTACTTTTGAAAATAAATTCTTGTGCTGACTTTCAAGCCAGAGAAATAAACTTTACTAAAAATTTCGATTGCTTCCTTAAATGTATACAGGAGTATCAAAAATTGCTGGTCTATTTTAAATATTTATTTTATATAAAATCTTCGTTATTTCAAATGCAGCACTATGTATATTTTTAAACAAGTCGAAGCAGATTTAAATGCTCTTTCAAACTATATTAGGGTTTCCTATATCTATCTGGCTCAGATTTTGAATAAAAAAGCGATTTTTCAATAAAATAGACAAAAATACACCAAAACGCTTTTAATTTTGCACTGGACGCAGATCAGCAGATGATTAAAACAGCTCATTGTTTTTATTTTCCTGTTGTAACAGTAGGTTCCAACCCCCCAATTGTAATATTTAACCCTTATAATAAATGTCTTTTTTAGGCCTGAGTATCCAAAAATGGAATAATATACAGGGTATTCCATAAGAAAAAATATAACTTTGGTATGGGTCTTAGTTCTGACACACCCTGCATATTTGAAAATAATTTTAAATTGTGCACATTGCCTCTCTACATATACCCATACAAAATTTCACCACAATACACCAAAATACTTTTGCACTGGACGCACGTTTCGCTAAACATATTAGCATCATCAGCAGATGATTAAAACTAAACACTACATTATTACTTAGCTCCTATTATCATATACCTTAGCATGTAGTTCTGAATGGCTTCATAGCTTAAATCGTGTATGTGTTATTTCTGTATCCTATTTTTTATATTGTGTATAAGTTTTTGGATCCTATAGTTTGAGTTTGCATCTTAATTTAATAGTTTAGGTACTTATAACTTGAATTTTAAAACAGAAACTATATTATTTTAAGTATGAAGTATGAAGTTATAGTATATATATTAGAATATTTTTTGGTTGGTAGAAGCGTAAATGGCATGCGACTTGCAATAAAATTAGCACGTTCGTCTAATTTCATGCAATGCAATAAAAATGACATCAACTGACAGAGATCAACGTTTGGTCTTAAAACCATATCTGCTATAGGTAGTACGAGGGGCGCATGTGTTCGGGCAACAAACATTCCCATTGCACCGTATTGTATGTAATTTAAACAGGGTTTTAGATTAATGTCTTTGATATCATCATAATATCTTAATTATTTTTAATGTCCTATTCCATTGGAACTTGGATTCTACTCCGATATCCAGTAAACTATTTTATTTTATACTGGATACGCTAAGACTACTACCTAGGTATAGTACATAGAATTTCGATTCTAATTAAACAAAATAAAGACATTTTGTCAAGCTTTTCCATTAGGGAAATTAAAATAACTTTCGTTGCACATTATAATACGACCACCAGCAAACTCCATAAGACGACGCATGGTGTCATTGATGACGTGCAACGAAAGTTGTTCCAATTTCCTTATTGTAATTAAACATAATATAAACATTTTCTCTTCATTTACTTAAAAAGTTCTTTTATTTTAATTTTTAAATGTGGAGTACAATAATACGATTTTTATTCAATTTTGCACGAGTTTATTAAATTGGTCCCATTTAATGAATTCCGTAGTTTGAACTGTGTTTAGTAATCGTCATGTTCAAATGGATGGTATTTATGTCCATAAGCTCTAAAATAATAATAAATATCTTTTCATTTTGTTATACTACATTTTGTTATACACTATACACTCACCGGCACATAAAATGGGCACCTTAAATTTTTTATATATTTTAAAGTTTAATATATTTTGTATCAGTGGGTCGATTTTAATTATTTTTTAAGCAATTTGTAGCTAAATTATTTGACTTTTCAGTATATCTTTCTAAATTAAAAACAAAAGTTTCCATCTGTCAATTATACAAGGGAAAAGAAAATGTTGATATTTTGGTAAAAGTTTGAAATACCCTATGGAATATATATGTTGTGACCTTGTTGTGAGCCAAAACGAACCAAGGATTTTAGAAATTACTTTATCATCTAGGTACCTCTTTTCCCGATAGTTTGTTTTTTGATTTATCGAAATAACCGGAGATATTCGCTTTTGAATAGGAAAGTAACGATTTACAGCTATTTTAGCATTGATTTTGGGTCCTGATCAACACACTTATAAAATAGTGTTTATTGTTTATGTCACTGCCATTGAAAAGTTATATTATTAGCGTTTATTGACGTTTACTCTAGTAGAGATCTAAGCTAGGTTGTAAGCTCTGAAGTATCAGCTATTGATGCTGTAATTAACCATGACAGAGATCAACTTTTGGACTTAAAACCATATCTGCTAGAGGCTAGAGTAACTGCCCAACATACAATAACAATATGATTTTTCGACATGACAATGACATTATACATATAAATCATAAACCCTCTATATGTCTGTTGACTAGAACCTTACTAGAACCAAAAGCAAAGACATGGTTTTAATGTAAAAAATATTAAAATATGTTAGTCTTTTTCAAGAGCGAATATCTCCAAAAAATAAAGCTATTCAGATGAATCAAAAACAAACTAGCTAGACAATCAAGACAATAAAGTGATTTTTAAATTCTTTGCTTTGTTAATGTACTCCACCAATTTCCAACCATTCTTTGCTTTGTTAAGACTTCCACCAATATATATCAACATTTTGTTTTCCCTCGTGTAATTGACAGATCAACTTTCATTTTTAATTTAGTAAAAGATACTAAAAAGTCACTTAAGATAGCTTTAAATTGCTTAACAAATCATGAAAATCTGTACACTAGAACACAATATACTAAGGGTCGGCATTTTTCGTCTTGGGTGCCCGTTTTCATGTGTACAAAGAGTACGGTCAACACGCTTAGTAAAATAAGATGTACTGAATAAAGACAGAAGGCGAGTATTTTCCCACGCGCATGAAATCTAGCGTCAGATTAAGTAGTTATGTAATAAATACTTCGTATTTTTGCTCACTCCGACTTTCTAGATTGCTATAACGACTCACTCCTATACATGTAAACGCCGACCCAAAGATTCGCTTGCCAGCGGGGTATAAAATTTTAAAATACATGAAAAGTTTAGTGTACCGTTTTTCATTCCGGTGAGTTAATGTGCATACAATAATATAATTTGTTCATAATATATTTTATTGTATTATTATTCTACTGGGTATTACAATTTTATGATTCGTATTTGAATTTATATACTTCATACCGTTGTAATAAATTTGATTGTTAAAAACACGACCTATGATTTACGAGACTGCTTCTACTTATATGATTTAAAAAAATTAATATCACTTACGCTGCCAATGCACATAATCTTCCATTACAGTCAAAAGTATTCAAATATGCAATATCATCAGCAGACAATTTAAAGTCAAATATACTGATATTTTGTAGAATTCTGGATTTTGTCACAGATTTTGGAATGGTAATTACACCTCTATCGATTTGATATCTTAAAAGAACTTGTGCCGGTGTTTTATTGTATTTAGTTGCAAGTTCTTTTAGTTTTGGGTCTTCCAACAGTTGTGGATCGCCTGTAATAGGTAATTTAAGTTTTTTGTAGTTCATCTCGATGTGAATACGTAAAAATGTTAATTAGTTAACAAAGTACGTATCTTAAAATATTATACCTGGTTTTGCCCATGGCCTGTCCGGGGATCCCAAAGGACTGTAAGCGGTAACAGCTATACCTTTGGATTTTGCAAATTCTATTAGATTTGTTTGGTTCAGGTAAGGATGACATTCAATCTAAAATATAAATTAAAAAGAAAACTGCAAATGATGATACATTTTATACATGTTAATTCACATTAAATAAGAGCCGTTCACTGTAAAATTCTGTAAACAGCACTTTGAAAAACCTTAATTTTAAGTGTAAAACTCGGTGTAAAACCACTTTGTATATTCAAAACTTATTATATTTATAATATTTTTCCAAACATCAGAGGATATCTTTCTCTAATGTTTGGAAAAAATGTTATAAATATAACAAGTTATCCATATACATAGTAGTTTTACACGTAAATTTAGGATTTTTCAAAAGTGGAGTTAATCGAATTGTGCAGTGAACGGCTCATATGTTATAAGAGTTGATGGAAACAGATTTCTTAAAAAATGTCTATTCTTATATTCCTAAAAGCGTATCTGTTCATTGAATTTGAATTACTACTTTATTATATTTCTGAAATTATTGTGCTAATCTATTTTTATACAAATAGGTCTAACTACAGTGCGTTAATAGACGTTTATAAAATGATGAAAATACAGAAAAACATGTAAATATGTATATACGATTGTACAAAGATTGTACAAAGGCTCACATGATATGCAGAATAATGGCGGGAAATAGATGAAACATTTTACGCTTGGATGAAACATTTGATATGCTTGGATATGGAGCTGGTGGAGCTATGAAGCAGTTGCTTGGTACACAAAACTAGAGCAAGAGTACACAAAACTAGAGACTGGCATGTATGTGCATCAGACGTGCCGTGAGAACATGCCCAACAGCGGCAATGGAGGTCATTCTAGACCTAACACCACGGCACACTATCGCCGGTAGATATGCCAATACGGTAGATATGCCGGTACAATGCCAACAATGATTAGAATGGTCATTAACGGAAACAGTACTGGGAGAATTGTCAAGCCAGGGCAGGGGCGTGGAACACCCTCAAAAAGAAAAGTCCACTCCTCCAACTCCCAGTGGATGACATACCAAGAACGTACAACTTTGAGAAACACCTCACTGTGGTATTGAGCAATAAAAAGGATTGGAAGATAGAAACGTTTGCTCGGCATGTAAAAGACAGTAATATTTTGAATACTTACGACTGAATTAAATCAACTAAAAAAATTGATAATTCAGAGCGTCTAGTATATACTGAGATTTTTACTCCGTATCTTCGTCATTTTGCTGTAAATCTAAATTTTAGGATTGCAATAGATAAATAATGACAAAGTATAAAGGGTGACTCAGTGAGAATCATCGGTGGATGATTCTGCAGATAAAACAAAAAATTCCTATATAGGAAAACAATTCTATGAACATATGTTCATATGATATTTTTGTTTTCTATATATTTTTGATCTTTATCTGTAGAATCCTTGGGACAGCCAAATGCATTTTAGAATTTCCTAACTGTTAAAATAAACTCATACAAAAATAGAAATCCAATCCGAACAGTTCAGTTTCAGACATATTTCCTAAGTCGGACTTATCATCGTACTCCTTCAGACGCAAATTTGCACAAATGGTATTATTTTTTTAAATCATTATTTAGCTATAAATCTCTGGTTCTAAAAAAAATTATATAATTTAATTTTACTTGCAAAACTGCTGGAGGAATGCTTCCTTCCGCCAAAATTCTCGTAATTTGAGCCTTGTTGAAATTGGATAACCCTATAGATCGAACTAGCTTTTTCCTGACGAGTTCTTCCAAAGCCTTCCACGTGTCCAAATAGTCTACCTCACTAAACTGCATCTTTCCCGCTGCATCAAATGGAAAGGTTTCTCCTTCTTCCTAGTTATTAATTTTAAGAATAAAATTATGTTCTTAATAACTGATGAATAAAGGGTCATCCGCAATTAAAATAACACGTGTAATTCAGAGAAAATATTTTTCTTTTCAATTATGACACTTGAAATATCACAGAAAATATTTTTGCGTTTATACTCGGAGTTCTTTTGGGTATTCTACGACTAGAAATTAAGTGTTCACACTTTTTAGTAAAACTAAAGTGGAAGAAGAAACTCTATTAAACAAAAAAATATATTAACAAATAAAAATAATGATCAACAGTGAAAGAATGAAAATCTAGATCTATTACGAAAAGCTTTATAATCAATGTGAATTAAAGATTAAAAACGATTACAGTTGGGGGTTGGAACCCTTGGTGTTACACAGCATAATAAAACACTAAATCACCACAATACACCAAAACACTTAGTCTTGATCATCTGCTGATGATGCTAACATGGTTAGCGAAACGCGCGTCCAGTGTAAAAGTAAAAGTATTTTGGTTCATTGTGTTGATTTAGTGTTTTACTAAAAAGGATGTTTTTGTTAACTTTTAAATTCGAAATTTGGTTTTGTAGCAAAATGAAACACTAAATCACCCCAATACACCAAAACACTTTTACTTTTATATTGGACGCGCGTTTCGCTAACCATGTTAGCATCATCAGCAGATGATTATAAACTTTAAAAGAATGTAACAACCTTATTGATTTTTCTTTAAAGAGAAAATTGCAAGTATCCAATCCCTCATTACCAAAGTTGTATGCGTTGCCAAAAATTCATAAACCGGACAAGTCTATGCGCCCAATTGTTTCGGCTGTAGGTTCTCCGACTTATAATTTGGCAAAATGGTTATCAAAGGAGTTCGAAAATTTACCTAATCATGAACCTTCTTTCTCAGTTAAAAATAATATTGAATTCATTAACAAAATTAAAAATATAACATTGCATGAAGGTGAAATTTTGGTCTCCTTTGATGTATCTTCGTTGTTCCCAAGTGTTCCAATTCCACATACTTTAGGCTACTTGAAGGAATTACTGAACGCAAATGGTCTCGACAACAAAACTGTGATTGAATATATTGAGCTTAGATCGTTATGTATGAAACAAAATTGTTTTCAATTTAATAACAACTTTTTTGAACAGCGGGAAGGTACAGCAATGGGTAATCCATTGTCTCCAATTTTGGCTAATTTATTCATGAGCAGGTTTGAAGTGGAGGCTAGGAATCAGTTTGAGTATTTTCCAAGAGTATGGTTTAGGTATGTGGATGATATTTTTGCTGTTTTTGACATACACTCAGATACCATAGATAATTTTATTTCTAAGTTTGAAATAAGTGAATATAAGTTTTCCTTCCATTAAATTTACACATGAAATTGAGAACAACGACAGATTACCATTTCTATATGTATTAGTTATTAGAAATACTAATGATTGCCTGGAATTTGATATCTATAAGAAAAATACCAATACACGCAGATATATTCCTAATGAATCATATCATAGTATTGAACATAAAATGGCTAGTTTAAATTTCTTAGTTCATAGATTACTTAGTTTTCCACTTTCCAACGAAAGATATGAAATAGAAAGATATTATATTAGGAATGTAGCTGAGTGTAATGGATATTCTCCTTCACTAGTTGATAAAATAATTAGAAAACGTAGGTATAGGTTAATGATTTCTGAAAATTCGACTTTTCAAGTGGAGAAAGATACGTCAAAATATTTTTCAATACCGTTTGATAGACAGTTATCCCGTGTTCTAAAAGGAATTTTTAAGAATGTTAATTATTTGAGTTTATAATCATCTGCTGAAGATGCTAACATGGTTAGCGAAACGCGCGTCCAGTATAAGAGTAAAAGTGTTTTGGTGTATTGTGGTGATTTAGTGTTTTATTTTGCTGTGTAACACCAAAGGTTCCAACCCTCAACTGTAATCTTTTGGTTTTGTATTTTAAATTAGAACCTTAAAATCTAAAATACGAAAATATATATAAAATTCGAAATATCCATATATTAAAAACAACCACTTACATATACAGGGTGTTTCAAAAACATGCGCTATCTCTCGTGGGGAGATTCCCCACGTAAAAACAAGATTTATTTTCTATGTTAACATAGGCCATAGTTGACCCCTATGCACGTCCCTGGTAAATTTATGTACACTTTCTTATCTGACGATTTAAAATATTCGCAATGTTACACCGCATGGATAATTAATGACACTTTATAATAATTATAGTAAATCGGAAAATATGGCACATGTTTTTTGATACACCTTGTAGAATCCAAGAATAATATTTTAGGAAATTATATAAATTAATTATTATTTAAACTTCGATTATAAAGTAAATATGACATTCAAAATAAGAAAAATTAAATATGGTTTTGAATTAATATGATGACAGACAAATATCTACCATTTAAATATATGGCTATAACTACATAATTGTGGTATTATAATTCCTCATAATTAAATAATCCATACCTTATAGCCACATGGCCAATGTATTAAGTATAAGTCCAGGTAATCTAGTCCTAAGTCGTTCAAAGTAATTCTTAAATTTTTCTCAACTAAATCGGGCCGATGATAGGTATTCCATAATTTGCTGAAAAATTACAATAATTGATGATATTCTTTAGCCTTGTATATACCGGGTGCGTCTCAAAAGTGGTTCAGCTTTATAACTTTTTTATTTTACAAGATTTGGTATATTAGTGTATGACATAAATTAGGACTGACTGACGTATTCAATTGTTTTCGGTCGCTTCCTGTTTCACCGGAAATTACTAAAACTTTTGATTTTTAAATGACACCCTCGGTTTTTTTTTTACTTTATTGGATAGGAAATGCCACTCTGAATAGAATGGCATATTATATGTCAACTTTTGACATTCTCGCTTTAAAAAAAATCATATTTTATGCCGGGTCCAGACTAAGCAAATAAAACAGTGACAAGACAGAAACATTCATGTCGTACGACAAAGCTGTGACAAATCCAATACATTTCTGCGATATTTTTGTCTCATTTTTGTTTTGTTTCAAAATTCAGAGACTTTTCAATGTCCCGTCTCGAGTCGGTAAAGATCAAAGTGTCTATGTTTTGTTGGTATATTTTGCGACAAGTCGTCGGCGCAGTGCGGATGGCGTCTGTTGCCAACAGTACAAGAGACCAGTGAAATCACACATGGGTAATAAAACTCATTCAAACTCCCGGAGTAGACAAGCCTTAGTGTGGTAAGGGCGCACTGCCGCACCGGACCGGAAAACAGAAAACAAATTGGGGAAAGAGAAGGGGAAAATACTAATGCTACACAAACTAGATTAAACATACTGGAACGAATGATGCAATGCAACTCAGTAAGAGGTGATGGAGGTAAAAAACGGAGGATACTAGACACATCTTTTGGAAAAAGCTCAATGCCAGATCCTTATAAAGTAAAGGAGAACGCGGAGGCATTCGTTATCAGGGAAACGATAGAGACAATTATAGAGATATCTAAAGATCTTGAGAATAAAATTGAACATTTTAATAAAAAAGAGATTAAAGAAATATCAAAAAAACTAAAAAGACAGGCAGAAGTATTAGGAAGGACATCGATTAAGGAATGGATGGAGGCTCATAGATATGACCAGGTAGAAAAGATGACAATGGATGCGGATATACAAACTATTGACTGGAACGATAAAGATGTTAGGATTGAGCAAATAAAAACAATAGAAGACTTTACATTAGCGGAAAATAAAAATTGGAAGGATAGTGCATTTACAAACACGGAAATAAAAATTGGCAACCCTTTGGACTCGAAAGCAACGGTGGTGAATGTAGTTTTTGTCGAACATACAGATCCAAATATGAATAGAGACATTCAACTCTTGTACAAGCGAAGATATCCTGAATTAGAAGAAGCTAAAGAACATTTCACTGTCTTAGAACAGTCTACGAAAATTAGGTCAGCAACTCACAGTAACGACTCGGCCAGCCAAAAAGTAATCAAAATTATTCTGAAAGGAGGTGATCAAGATTTATGGGAAAAATTAAATGAACTCAAAAATGAAACGTTAAATGATGAATGGATAGCCACATCGAAGCAATTTCTATTAATCGACTGAGAAAAATGACAGAAGTCATATTTCATGGCACAAATAACACAATAGCAATATATACCAACAAAAGGACAAACAATAGGCAAACAGCAAACACAACACCAAGAGAAAGAAAAAGTTACGCACTTGTAGTAGATCAAAAGGGCACTGACCGTAGTGAACTAATAAAGACAATAAAAAGCAAACTATTAAACACAGAGACAAGCAAAATAATACAAGGTATCAGAACGACTCGAAATGGACAAGTGCTAATAACGACGGACAAGGACGAAAAGGGAATCGCAATTTTAAACGAGGAAATTAAAAACCTATCAGCAGAGATAGGAACGAAAGTTACCGGAACAACCAAACCAAAAGGAGAAGTCATACATCTACGTGGTATGGAAGAAACAACAAGCAGAGAAGAAGTAATTCAAGCAATAACAGAAAAGGTTGGGACACTGCAGAATACTTTTCAGCTAAGCAATTTGCGACCTAACGCAAATAACACTCAAGCTGCCACTATTATAACTGACAAGGAAACTGCTGATTCGTTACTGCAAGTCCCAACATTAAGAATAGGTATAGTACGATGTAGTTCAGAGAGGAAAGCCGATATTAAAAAGTGTAAGCGTTGCTGGGCACACGACCATACCGAAGAGCACTGTAATGGACCAGATAGGAGAAAATTATGCTATAAATGTAGTGAAGAAGGCCACACAGTAAAAGAATGTCCGAATAACGAGAAGTGTCCTATGTGCGAAGATAATAGACATAGAGCTGGAACTGGCAAATGCCGCGAGTTTCGTAGGGCATTGTCATATTACAGAAATAAAAACAGGACAAATCCAGCCAATTTGCAATAATGGACATCACAATTCTTCAAATTAATACTAGTAGAAGTAAGCCGATACATGACTTGGCTACAGTGGTGACAGCAGAAGAAAAATGTCATTTTCTCGCTATAAGCGAACCAAACATCTCAGGGTGTAGAAAAAGTCAGCATACTTATGCAAACGAAAGCTACTCTGCCGCTATAGTAAATCACAGTAAAAGCATACCTGTCAGAAAATATCATACCGGAGAATGTTTTGTATGTGTAGAAATAGACAACTTTGCACTATATAGCGTTTATATAAGCCCTAATAGTACCCAGGTTTTTTTTGAAACTTGTCTTACAAACAGATATTGCAGAAAGGATAGAAAAAAAAGTCATTGTAACAGGAGATTTTAATGCTAAGCACGCATATTGGGGCGGAAACAAAACAGAACAAAGAAAAGAGCTACTGGATTGGGTATATTCACTGAAACTAAATATACTAAACGATGGCCATTTGCCTACGCTAGTGAGGTCAACGGGATCGTCCTACATAGATTTAACAATGTTCTGCGACTCAACCATGATGTTAACACCAACTTAGAAGATACTTGACGAAAAATCTCTCCTAGAGCACCAATTCATACTTATCAAAATACCAAAATCTAAATATAAAGACAAAAGAACGTACAAAAAGGGAGCTCCAGATCTAGCAAAAATGGATAAAATTTTCAAGAAACGTTTAGTCAGCGGACGTAGCGACGCAACCGTCGAAAGTTGTATAGTACTGGTTCAGAAAGCATCCAAAGAAAGCACTACAAGAATAATTAGATGCAACGATGATTACAGCATACCATACTGGTGGTCAGAGGACATACATAATGAAATATTGGCAGTTAGGAAGAAAAGACGAAAGTTTCAAAGAGAAAAAAACGAAGGAAAAAGAATTGTACTATTAGAGGAGTATAAGATAGCTAAAAGAAATCTCAAAAATTGCATCTACCGTGCTAAGGAAAGGAAATGGGAACTATGCGAAAACTTAGAAGAGGATATTTTTGGCGACGGATACAAAAAAAAACACAGGCACAATTAAAGCTAAGGCAGAATTAAAGCTAACTAACCGAAAGATGACTTTACAAATTGAAGAGAAGTCGGCCATTTTTCGAGATCTCTTTATGCCTCCTAAAGGTATAAATCTGAATATGTATAAACAAGACCAAAAAAATAGTTAAAAAGGATTTACATTAAACGAACTCTCAGTTGCTTCCGAGAAATTAAAAAGCGGAAAAGCCCCAGGCCCCGACGGAATACCACCAGAAGTTGTAAAAATTATCATCCGAAATAACTCGCAATACTTTTTGGAGGTGTTTAATAAACTTTTAAATGATAACGATTTTCCCGATATTTGGAAAAGCTCCAAATTAATCTTCATAGACAAGCCCAAAAAAATGAAGGTAGAAGAAACTAAATACCGTCCAATCTGCCTGATTAACGCAACCGCCAAAGTATATGAAAATTTAATAAAGAATAGATTAATGGAAGAAATACAAAATAAAGGTGGGTTTAACCATAACCAGTTTGGATTCATAAAAAAAGTCACAACAATAAGTGGAGTTGATCTTGTAACAAAGACCGTCAAGGACAAACCCGAAAAATGGCATGCGCTGATCCTAGTAGATGTGAGAAATGCATTTAATATGGCAGCATGGCCTATAATATTGTCAAAGTTAACAAGAAGAAACATCAGCCCATATCTTATAAATATTATAATATCATATTTTACACAGCGTACTGTAAACTTGGATATAGACCACCAAGAAGAGGTTGGGGGAGTCGTACCCCAGGGATCGGTTTTGGGTCCTACCCTTTGGAACATCCTTTATGATGACGTAATGGAAATAAGGGTGCCTCAAGGAGTAAAAATAATCTGCTACGCAGATGATCTGGCTGTATTAACCACAGCTGAAACCTCCGAAGGAATGATACGCAAAACCGAAGAGGCTTTACACTATATATACTTGTGGATGAATCAAAACCAGTTGGAAGTTGCACCAGAGGAAACAACTGCTATTCTTCTAAACCGAAAGACAAAGATAGGTGGTATACAATTTAAAGTCGGTGGGAAGTACGTTAAACCAACTAATACAGTGAAATACCTCGGAATAATACTAGATAGAGGGCTAACTTACAGTCAACATGTAAAAGATGCTTGCGGAAAAGCAAACAGAACTGTCAAAGCTATATGTGGACTACTTCCGAACCTAAAAGGACCGTCCTCAAAAAAAAGAAAAGTTCTTGCGGTATCAATGCAAAATATAATTCTGTACGGCGCTCCTGTATGGGTCGAGGCACTAAAATTCCAACGGACGAAAAATATATTGCTTTCCACACAGAGAAAAATGGCCCTAAGGATCTGTTCAGCGTATCGTACGATATCAACAGATGCCATGTTGGTTATAGCTGGGCTGATCCCGCTGCATTTAGCAGCTGAGGAAAAGCGAGAGTTATATGTCAAAGCAGAGATTAACGATGAGGTGAAAATCTATCAACGACGAGGTACCTATCAAAAATGGCAACACAACGTGGAGGACTGGACAAGTAGGAAACACGGAGACGTGGACTATTATATTACGCAGTTTCTTTCCGGGCATGGAGTCTTCATGGACTTCTTGAACAGAATAAAGAAAATACCAAATGGCAACTGC